GCGCGGGGGGCGGGCGGACCGGCGGGGCGGGGCGGAGCGGAGCGGTAGGCGCCTCGGACCGCGGGGGCCCGGCCGCCGGCCTTTCGGGCGTGCTGGGAGGAAAGCGTCGAACTCCGGGCGACAGTGCCCCGGTTCATTCGTGACCGAGGTTCGAACACATGCCTTGAAGTAAATCCTTCCGATTTCGCATCATTTTAGACGTGTAAATGGGGCAGAAGTTCTTGTTGAGGAGTTTGGTCGAGGTATGGTTCTGTAGATGTTAAATAAACTTGGAGCCTTTTCTGTCCCAACCGCAATTTTAGATACGTTTTGAAAATTTCATCACTTGAGGTATTTTTTTTCTTCTCATGGACCACATGGTACTTGAAATATCCACAAAGGTCACGTACTTCAGTTGTCCAAGCCAAGGAATCTGTGCCATCCCCACCCCAAATTGACTGCTAATTGGAATAATGAGCCGGATGTGTTTTAAAAAGGGATTGGAAGAGTGTGGGATACAGATATTGTTCCATAGAATAAGTGGAAAGTAGAAATTTTTAAAAATTGTTCTGAGGAAAAAGGTCTCTTCAAACTTGCATGTTGGGATTTTAAACACAGCCAGCTTTTTAGGTGCAGGGCACTCTGAAGAGACATAGAATTTATTTATTTAAGCAATACTCTGCTCAGCCTCTTTCCAGAGCCTTCAGGAATCCAGCAGATCCCAACTCCCTTTAACTAGAACACTTTATTTTTATATTTTCATCTTTCTATATATCACACTTTTGTCACAAATTGTATTTCAGTGATTCCCTATTTTACAGATGCGAGAGCTAGACAAGAGTGACAGTCCACCCCTATTTCCTAATCTTAGATGTGACCTTTATTGACTTAATATTTCCTTTGCCAATAGATAATTCCCATCAGAGTAACATTTCTTTCCCGATGTTACGTTTCTTTTCTTACGTGTACCATGATTAAACATTTAATCGTGTAAGGATGATTACTTTCAACGTGGAAGTTTACAGCGCTACCACGTTATTGAAACAGTAATGAACTGCATGTGAAAATTGCTTACGACATTTTTATTTGATACTATAGGTATTTTTACCTCAGTGAAATAATTGTAGAAGTGGTATATTAAGACTGATAAAGGTTTGACATTAGCAACCTCGATATATATTTGAGAAGTAATATGGTTGGCTACTGAAGTCCTCAAATTGCTTTTTGCATAGTTTGTATCATTTATATTTTTTACATGGATTGTATCATTTTATATTAGTATAAAGGGCAGAAGTGCTGACAGTTACAGTATAACCTGTTGAAGGGAACACTGCACTAGGAGACAAGAATTGTTCAGTCATGGCTATGCTCCAAAATATGTGTCTACGGACAAGACTTAACCTTTTGAGTCTCAGCTTCATATCAGTAAAACCAAATGGAGTAGATTATACTGTCACATGTACTGTCCAATTATTAATTTTTCCATTTTTCTTACTGTTGTGTATCTGTTCAATGTACTTTTAACAAATAGATGCCTGGTATGTGCCCGACACTTTGATGTTTTAGCATTCTAAAAGTGATTTTTCTTTTTATTTAGCAAACATTTAAGTTGGTGATTGTGTTTTGGGAACAGTATTCCTGTGGGTCGCCCTCACTGATTTTTCTGTTGGATTGGGAAGTCAGAAGAGGCTCCTGGGGGGAAGGAAGGTAGCGATTACACTAAGGACAAGTTTGGTTCAGGCCTTGGGTTTGAACAAGTCTGTAGCCCTTGGTGGTAGCTGGATGAGAAGGGCACTGTAAGAACATATCATGAAGATTGTTTGGGCAAGTGAAGCCCCATCTTAATAATTTTGTCTTGTTAACCTTTTTTTTTTTTTTTATTGTTCCCTAAACCTCATCCACTGCCCAAAAAAGAAATCCATAGCGGCATTATTTTGTCATGTAGTAAACATTGTTGAGCAGTTAGCAAATACAGTCTGAATTTGTTAAGAGTAGCCCTAGACTGTTTGCTTATTACAGTGACTAATAG